CATTTCAAACCTCAACTCATCCCAAGCAATTTTTATTTTTGGTACATTTTTTTCCAAGCATTTTTATTTTTTCTTTCAAGTTTTATCTTTTTGGCCGAAAACAAAGATTTTTATTTTCAAATTCAACCAGTAAAAATAAATAAAAATAAATTCGTCGATTTCTTTCTATCTCTACAGGAATCCCTACCATTAAGGTGGAATAAAGAAAAATATTCATCTTTCGTAGGATAGAGATGGAGAGTTTTTTTTCTCCCTAAAATTTTGCAGAGAAATTTCCCCCGTTTACAAATTATCGAGTTTCATATTCTCAGTACAGATGCACTCCCCAGCTCCACGCTACGGTTGCCATCCTTGGTCCACATTATCCATATACGCTGTATAGCGTATTCCATTAACCGCGTTTCATTAGAACTTGGTTTGACTTATGTCAACTTTTTGACAATTTGGTACAAAGTGTTGCTAACTTTCCACTTAAGAAATCTCTCTTTGCTATTTCGGTGTACTCACCCCTCACGAAACTCAATCACAATAAGGAGAAAATTCTGTTGTATTTCTGAAATACCTTTGATTCGATATTTTGGACTAATAAAAATATATTAAATTAATATTTTTATTATACTTCATTACTTGTTTAATGAAAAAAAGTTAAAGTTGTATGTTTTTATTGATTTGAGATATCATGTTAGTAGTATTGTGGAGATACAACAGAATTTTTCTACAATATGGTCATAAAATTATTTAAATAATTAAATTATAATAAAATAATTATAATTATTAAATATGTAAGATATAATATAAATTTTAAATTTATAAAATTTATTATATGATTATTATTAAATAAAAGATATTTTAATTTTTTGTTTTTAATAAATTGTGTAATAAAAATATTTAAATTATTTTACGGTTTTGTATTTTGGCCAATAAATTGTTTTACAGTTAAATTGACTAATTGAATACTTGTGTAATAAAAATATTTAAATTATTTTACGGTTTTGTATTTTGGCCAATAAATTGTTTTATAGTTAAATTGACTAATTGAATACATGAATGATAAAAAAAAAAAATCTTATAAAAAATTGATATCATTTTCAATATATTAACATTGGAGATGCTCAATCTAAAATTAATATAACCCTCCTAATTTCTTTCTTTATTCTTTCTTTAGTACATAGTGCTATTGAATTTAGTAATTAAAAATAGTTGATAATTTTTTAAAGAGTAATAGGAATATTTTTTAATAAAAAATTTTAATTTTATTGATATAAAAATCATAAAAGTTACAAGACCAATCTGAATGAGATCATACGTTATAGTTATTCGGCTTATAAAATATATAAAAATATAAAATTAAATAATTTAATATTTATATAAATATTACAACTAAATCTGAATTCAAAATTTAAAAGTTAAGTTTAAAGATAATCCATCGAGAAAAAGATAAATTAATTTCTATGACAAAAAAATTTGGTCAAATATCTTATCTCAACCATACCTTCAATAGCTAAATTCAGTGTAAATGACTAATTTAAACCTAATTAATCTCACATTCAAGTTGCCAACCTCCTACTTTCACCTTTAGCCATTCACCTTAATTACTGGGGGAAAAGGAGGCAACGGTTAGGAGAGAAAGATGAAAAAAACAAGAAAGATAAGAAATTAAGGTTCAAGCTAGAGAAGGGGAGCGGAGTAACAATAGTAGAAATAATTAATTATTATATTTATAGTCCGTAAGTACAGTTGGCATTTAAGTTTAAAAGTCAACTTATAAAAACAACTTTACAAATACTTTAATTAATTATTTAAGAAAAAAAATTAAAACAACTAATTAAATCAAACACACTTTTTGTATTTCCTCAATCTCATGTATTTTTTTCTCTTTATTTTAAAATAAAGGGTTAAAAATTCCTCAGGGGAGCTGATGTCGGCTTATTTGGGGCCCCGTGTCATGTGGAATGTAAAATGCGAGCTGCAGAGTGAACGCGTCTTCTGGATAAATGTCCCGACCGTTCACACCCCATCGTCTGAGAAAACTACATTCATCCATTTGTCAAGTTGTGAACCCACCGTTATTATTTATTTATTTCCATCACTTTCATTAAAAACTTTATCATTTAATTTGTCCGGAGAGTTTTTAATTCATATTCACACACGACCACAGTATTGTAAAACTTACAAATTAAGACAAAAAAGCTTGGCGACATAAACAGGAGACTTTCAATGTCACCTCAAACTTTTTGCCTATAAAATGTGCCTTGTGGTGCCAACAAGAATCTTGTCTGGTTCAAGAACAATCTTGCACGGAACTTGTATTCCAGGGACAGCTTTTTTTATCTTTTCTTTCTTAATTAACTTCACATGTGTCTGCTAAAGGTGGCGAGCGGAAAGGACGAAATTAATAACGAGAGAAACATCGATCAGTGGCTGTTCCAGCCATTGGTGCACTCCGAAGATGGAGGCAAGGGATCGTCGATGTTTTCGCGGTTGAACAGGGAGCAAGAGATGTCGGTTATGGTGTCGGCTCTCGCGCACGTTGTGGCTGGAGATGTTCCTGATCAGGCAGGGGATTTTGTTGATGGCAGTTTGGGTTCTCCGTCTTCATGGGAATTTGGTGTGCAAAACAGGGGAAGAGAAGAGGTTGGTGGAGGCATGCTGCAGGCTCAATCTGTTTCCAGGCCTTGTAGAGAATTTGGTGGCTTTCCTCATGGCGGTGGGTCGTCATCCTCTTCTAGTAGTGGACGAGGTATGTTCCAATTTATTGAACTCACAATTTTTATCTATTTACAATTAATTTCAAAAATAAATGCAGTATACGAACAATATTAATTATTAGACGTGTGGACATAAGTTATTTTCTAAAAACTGAATTAATTTTATTCAAAAGGTTTATCTAATTTATATTTTTGTTTAATTTATATTTTAAAAGTATAGTTAAAATTTATTAATTAAAATATTTTAAATTAATTTTATATAAATTTTTATATTAAATTCATAATTTTTTTTATAAATTTTAAAATAAAATTTATATAAAATTAATTATTGATATTACAATAAATAAAATTTAACC